ACACTGAACAACATCAGAGAAACACTGAACATCAGAGAAAACACTGAACAACATCAGAGAAACACTGAACAACATCAGAGAAACACTGAACAACATCAGAGAAACACTGAACAACATCAGAGAAACACTGAACAACATCAGAGAAACACTGAACACAACATCAGAGAAACACTGAACAACATCAGAGAAACACTGAACAACATCAGAGAAACACTGAACAACATCAGAGAAACACTGAACAACATCAGAGAAACACTGAACAACACGTCCCACTCATGTCTAAAGCACACGCGGATGTTTGGCGCTCCATGATGAGAAAGGACTATTTCAAGTTCAAAAGAAGTGTTAAGTTGAAATAAATTCAAGAAATAAATGGGAGTAAATGTGGAAAAACCATAATCATTAAGTAACTGAACAGCTATACGTCAAATAAAACAGGGTAATAAACCTGTGTGTGTGATTTATCCTCTGCCTTTTCCTAAAACTGACTAAATTCACTGTGAAGTGTCTCGTGCGGCCTCCAGAAGACCGTCTATATTTGACATTTTTCTCTAGTGGTAATCAGAATTACTGCACAGAAGCTGAGCTTTGTACAAAACCTGCTGTATTAAGAACATTTTCATATCTGAGCATTTATTCTTCTGCAAATCTCACCTCCACCAAACAGAGCCACAGCGCTACTGCAATACCAGACCATACAGCCATGATGAGTGTGTGAATGAGGAGTTCAAGCATCTACACCAGCAGGTTTAACAGGATGAATGTGTGTGTGTGTGTGTGTGTGTGTGTGTGTGTGTGTGTGTGTGTGTGTGTGTGTGTGTGTGTGAGAGTGTGTGTGTGTGTGTGTGTGTGTGTGTGTGTGTGTGTGTGTGTGTGTGTGTGTGTTTGTCGGTTTTCTGTCAGATTGTGAGTCAAACCCACTCATCTGATCTCTGTATGAAGAGCCATGATGAGTGTTTCTGTATCTGCTGATCTCTCTGCATGCTGAGGCGTGTCAGTGTCAGTCTGTCAGGCAGGAATCCAGCAGTTCAGAGGGTGAAATGTGATGCCAGGTTAAGAGTAAGCACTCAAATCCTTCAGAACCGTCCAACAACTGCTGAAACACCTTCAGCGAGCATCAGATACACACTCCACTGACTAATGGAACTACTGCACACTGCAGAACACTGCTCTTATACTCAGGGTCTGGTCTGGTTTCTAGTCTTCATATCTAAATATACCTTGATCAAGGTTTTTTAGACAATAATATTGTTTTTTCAGAAATAATTTGTAAATTTTTTTCCTAAAACAAGCAAAATAATCTGCAGATGAGGTCAGCAAAATAGTCTTATTTTAAAACAAAAACAAGATTACTTGCTTTATAAGAAAATTTGGACACACTAGTTCTGAAAACATTTTTAGTTCTTGATTTAAGAATTTTAGATATTTGGATTAAAAACTTTAAGCAGGGAAATGTCTCAGGCTGTGCCCGTAACCATGGTTCCCTGAGGGGAACGAGACCCTGTGTCAGAATCTCAATGCTATGGGGTCACGATCCCAACAACACCATACTGACAAGTGCCCGCGTGACATGTCCGTTTCAAGGCTCTGTAGTATTAGACGCTGGGAAAGGATCTATAACCAGTTGATAAAACTGGATAGAGGTGTGAGGGCTAGGTGTGATTGGAGGACAGGTAAACTCACGTGTAGCTTCAGTGGTGCGGCGGCTGTATGTGCGTCGAGCTCGATATCGAACCACCAGCTCTCCACTCTCCATCATGGGCTCAAACGCCTCACTGTAACACACACACACACACACACACACACACACACACACACACACACACACACACACACACACACACACACACACACACACACACACACACATCAGTGTTCACAGCCTTTACTCAATACTCTGTTGATGCTCCTTTGGCAGTGATTACAGCCTCAAGTCTTTCTGAATATGATGCCAAATGCTTGGCACGTCTGTCTTTGGGAATGTTTGCCCGTTCCTCTTT